ACATATATATATATATATATATATATATATATATATATATATTAAATACATTATTTTGTTCTATTAACAGGTGTCAAACATAAAACAATACATATATTCATATAGTATTTTCTGTGTAGTTATACCAAATATAGTATATAAGACATTTATCTTATTAAATTTTGTTCTATTTTATGCTATACACTGTTTTTAATTACCAAAATCATCCATGCATGGTTCCATCTCATATCCAAAAAATATAAGAGGAAGAACAAGGAATGTGTTGGTTAGAACAGGATGGAATACAATTTCATTAAAGTGTTTGAAAATAAACATGAAAGTACAACAAAAGTTGAGACTGAATTGTGTTAATTTCTTGAATTTTATTACACAAAAAAAAGCGACTAAGAAAAGTAAAAGAACAATGACAATAAACTGTCTTTAAGGTTTAAATCTTCAATTGTTTGGATTTGGAGTTTGAGACGATCCCTTAAACGCATGTTAATAATATGTATTCTTTAACATATATTATATTTTTAAAATAAATCCCTATTATTAGCTGAATTTTATTAAAAACAGATTTTTTCTGTGAGATATACTTCTTATTTAATAAAGTTCTCTTATGATTTTATATTTTTCAATAAAATTTAGCAAATAATATAAATTATATAAAGAAAATATGTCACCACTCTTTAGATAAAATGTCAGTTGAGAAAACTTGTTCAAAGATCACATAGTAATCCATTTATAGTGACTTAGTGAAACACATAATGCAAGGTATTTATTTTTGGTCCACCCCTTTAATGACACAATGCTAATTAATCTTCCTAGTCCTCAACACATAAAATAGCCCGAGTGCAATGGTGATAACCTCACACCAAAATATTATTATACAAGTCTCTCCCAGTTTTAAACCTAAGATCTTTCTTAATCAAGCATGACTCTACATAGTCCCAGAGTCCCTAGTGTTTAATAAATTTTAAGGTGAATTTTTAACTAGTGTTATCTTAAAAAAAAGTTTTTTTTTTTTATTTGAGTCAGATTAATATGTACAAGATCACGATGAGCTAATACAAATCACTTATTCTTATTTTATTTAGACTTAAACCTTCAAATTACAAATATTCAAGAAGCAAATCACAAAGATAGACAAAGCAAGTTATGAAAAATAAGTTCAAGGATTTACAACAATCATCTTCATTGAAGTCATATAAAATGAAATTTGAAACTTGAAAAAAAGAGAGATCAATTTTTGTAAAAAACTACATTCTTTTTTTTTTTTGGTAAAAGGTATTTATATACTTAATTTATTGTATCACATTTTGAAAGGAAGACAAAATAATTCTGTAAACTTTCATAACTTTGAATTATTGGATTTGAACCTAAAGAGACTTGTCTAAAAAAATACTGAGTGTTGAACTCTAAGAGACTTTGTGTAAAAAGAATATTTAGATAATTGTTAAAGAGATAAGTCAATGAACACTAATAATTGAGTCAGAAGTACTGACGGTAAATAATACTTGTATTTTGAAAAAAATAGTAAAATTTAATATATTTGGATCAAGAACTAGATGTAGTTTCTATGGTTGAGATTGACCAGTATGAAAACACCTTATGTTCTTTCTATTTATCTTTTTGTCTGTATTGCTTACTATAACGCTATTGTTTCACTGTCTTGCAAAAAGTAAGTTTTTGAGTGATACTATTCAACACTCTTTTTTAGTATTTCTCTTTTTCCCACAGCTCTATAATATAAATTATTTATCATAAATTTAAATTATAATTTATATATTTAAAAATATATATTTATTCAAATTTAAAATATAATTTGTATATTTAAACATAATATTTAATTATTATATAAACATATATACTTATTAGCGTCTCATTGTGTTTGCCTACCCAACATATATTCGAACTTGTGATTAATTATGTATATAAACACAGTTAATTATATTTTATAAGTGGTAAAATAAATAAATGTAAGTTGATCATATTAAACATTTTAATAACTCTTATAATACTATTAACTACATGAAATAAAATTAATTACTATTATATATTTTAATAATGCACAACTAAATAAGAGATATACTCATCAAGAATGATATGTGAAACTTAGGGGGGTGTATTGGTTTAGGATTTCGTAGGATTTTAAAAGACTTTTTTTGAGTAAAAAAGTCCATTGGTATTCAATCAGGATTTTATGTCACTTAAAAACAATCCAGTGGTATTCAATATGGATTTTCAAGATTTTTTAAAGAGTCCATTAAAATTCACTGGTATTCATTTGAGATTTTTTACAACTTAAAAACAATCCATTGGTATTCAAAAATATAAAGATTTTAAAGGATTGTTGTATGAGAGGGATTTTGAAGGACTTTCTAGTGTTATCTATAAATACCAGATTCATAAAACAATCCCATCCAAACCCATCGGATTTTGAAGGATTGTTTGAAATGATTTTTCAAGTGTTTTAAGAATTTTCAAGTGAGTTTTTCATCTTTTTTTTCTATGCTCCTGTCTTCTCCATTTTTTCTCTACTAATAATACTACACTATTGTTCATTGCTCATATATAATACTATTCTCATACCATTCTCCTATTTTGTGAAACTCTAATATGTAAATGATAGTGTCATTGACTTGTTTTATTTTT